GGGGGGGGGGGGGGGGGGGGGGGGGGGGGGGGGGGGGGGGGGGGGGGGGGGCGACGCAATGGTTGAACCGAACCGAACAAACTACGGGAGTCATTGTAGACACACACACGATACGCACGGGCTACCCCCGGAAGTGGCTACTAACGAGGCGAGCCTTGGGAGGCTAAACCCCATGGGTTGTAGTCCATGGCTCAAGCACTCCACGGGCCCTCCAGGCATCACGACCAACTACGACCATAAACTGAGACACAAGGCGCGACAAGCTGTTCCACATTGTGACAGGGGAGCTATCCAGCAGCAGCAGCAGCAATATCAGTATCAACGTGGCTTACCTTCCTTCTTGACGACCATCTTGAGCTCGTCCACGCAGATGGACCCGTTGTTGTCGGCGTCGATCTCTCGGAACGCGTCCCGGAGGTGCCCTTACATAGTTCAAACGCACAGACGGACAGACCGCCAGCAGATTGACGAACAAAGAGACAGAGAGACAGAGACAGAGAGACGGAGGGACAGATATACAGACAGGCAGGCAGGGAGACAGTGAGAGAGGCAAGAAAAACAGATAGTCACACAGCCAAGACAGACCGACAAGCAGACGGTCAAAGACAGACAGACAGATCTCATCCACCCGTTTATGCCGGGATTTATCTTCCGGAACACCTGACTGGAGCGCTGGTTGACAAAAACAGCCAAGGGACGCGAAGCGCATTCGTGTGCGTGCGCAGGCAGAATGCGAAGGTCTTGCACCACTTGACACATTTCCTTGCAGCCACAAGCACGATCTGAGAACCCACCCCATCCACCTCCCCGACAACAAAGGTGCCCCAACGTTCCAGACAGGGCGTAGGGGGGGAAGACAGAAGTCGCCCAATGCAACAAAATAGGGGAACCCCAGAATGAGTATAACCCCCCCCCAAGCACAAGATGCCGAACACCCTTAGCAGGATGCAGCACACCCTTCATGCGACTCGCCGAATATCTCACGGCGCTTCGCGCTTGGTGATGTGAGAGCCTGGTCCGCTGAGAACCTGGCGTGCTCCGTCCCGGCTTTGTAGGGATGCGAGGTCAATGGTCTAACGACTATGGCATGCACGACTTTAAGTATGAGTACATCCCCTCCCCCCCTTCCCGGTGTTTACCATCGGGGTTGGGTTTTCGTCGCTTGGCAACGACGTTGTAAAACAAGCCAATTCACCAGACGTGAACTCGGCAACCAGGTTACCGTTTTTTTTTTACCTCCGTATATTTTTTTTGCGGTAACCATAATGGTGGTCGAGTAGATAATGTTGTTCGGGGTCGAGAACCCTCACTCCGCGCAAGGGGGATGATCGCACCACGTTGTGCTAAAATGGTCAAGCACCCTAGAAGGTTGCACAGTGATTACAACTGTCTCTGGAAGTGAGAGCACCAGAAAGTAAAGTAAGTCATACGCAGCTGTCATCCGTACGCAAGGAAGTAAGCACAAGATGCCGAACACCCTTAGCAGGATGCAGCGCACCCTTCATGCGACTCGCCGAATATCTCACGGCGCTTCGCGCTTGGTGATGTG